GGTGATACTGGCGCAAACGGTGGAAAAGGGGAAGGTGAGCGCGGGTGGCGGCGGAGCTTCACACGACTTTCTCGGGACGAGCGCTTAGCCTGCACGCGGGCGGGTCGTCTCCCTTGCCGCCCGCCCCGCTAGGCGATGGGGAGTGGCACGAGGTTAATGCGGGGTACGTGGCCCAGAGAATCACTTCCGAGGAGAAACTGTGCCCTCTGGTCAAGGATTCCCACGGCATCATCTGGTTTTCGGGCGGCCACGTCATCGCCCACAACCCCGTCGACTGCCACAACTGCAAGGAACAAGACTCGTCCCAGCCTAAGACAACGGCGGTACCCCCGCTTTCCAGAAAATCGTTTCGGCCTTCGCGCGCCAGCACGTCGCCGAGGCCATAGGCTGTAAGGTCAAGCGAACGCTCGTCAACGGGTTCCTCGATCCTTTGAACCATTGCCGCTCCATTCGCTACCAGTGCCACGGCCGTAAGAAGCACGTTGGCCCCGCCTATTGGAAGAGGCACATCGCTATGATCTTGACAATTGAGTGGTGCAACGTGAGCAACACGCAGGATGATACATTCCCGCTCCAGCAACTCACGACCATCAGCTGCGCCATCCTGAGCGATGTGCGCCTGGGAGCCGCGACTGAGTGCACGATCTCTCCTGGCAGCGACAATCACATCATACACGTCTGCCCGCGCTGCACAGCAGCCGGCCTTCAAGCCGAAAGGGTGGGTGCGATGTGTGCAACAGGCGCAGTAGAATGCGCCTGGAGGCACCACCGCTGGAGGCGGCCGCTGGAGGTGCGTCAGCAAGAAGTGCGGTCTCATGTGGGGGGAGAACGGCGCCGCGTATCAGTATCGGGCCATCGATCTTCCGTCCCAGACCACCACCAGTCATGGGCGCATGTTGGGGGCCGCGACTGGGAGATCCAGGATTGAGCGGACTTAGGAGCATGAGCCGTCCGAACAGGCGTAGGTGGTTTATTTTGGCCATGGTTACGTCGAGAATGAGGGCACTCTGACCGTGCTCCGGACGGGCAAGCTGGTCTCCACCGTCCGTGCCCGCAATGGCTACATCTCCCTGGACGACCTCACGGAAAAGGAGATCGACGCTGTCATGGAGGTCATCGACGCCAGCAACGTGGAGGCCTACGAGGAGCTCGTCAAGCATGTGCCCTGGTCCTCGGAAAAGAGGATCATCCTGGCGGAGCTCGGGCAGCCGGGCGTTTGTCCCTACTGCGAGGGCCCGCTCCTTTCCCAGAACAAGTTCACGGGCAATTGCCGCGATTTTCGCCCGGCCGCATGGTTTCCCAGTCCGGGCCATGAAGAGCGTGTGCTGCACTTCGACTGCCTGCTCCCGTTCTTCGACGTCAAGGCGCCCGCGTCAGCCCGAGTGCCCGGCGGCGCGGCAAGCCAACGAGCAATCGGCAGCAGCTGCGGGGGCCCGCGTGCCAGCGCCAATGGCGAGCCGCCGGGGAGCTGATCGCGCGCCGCACTCGCAGCTGATCGGCAACGCACTTGCGGTGCATCGGTGAGACTTTCTGGCGCCGGCAGCGGCGGGGCTCCATGCGACGCATCGGGGCGGGGGCCTCGTCCGCGCGCGGGCGAGAGAGCTGGCCGCCGCGCGGCCCAGGGCGCGACCAGAGCGGGCCACCGCTCGCAGCCTGCGCCGGGCTCGGTTCGAGGGGGGCCGCGCCCGGCTGAAAACCCCTTTCGTGTCCTCCTCGTCCCCGGCCTTGCAGGTCCTCCTTGCGAGGGGGCACGGCGTCGTCTAGTTCACCCCGGGGGCGCTGCCCCCGGGGGCTCGGTGCGTTGGCGCGCCTCCGGGATCGCCCCGCGCCCCCGTTGACCGGCGGGCACCCTCCCACTGCGAAGGCGTCCGCTCCGTCCGCGGCCCCCCCCCCCCTTCCGCCTCGGGCGGGGGGGGGGCCTAGCTAGCCTAGACGGAGAGGAGTAGCCCTCGCGACGGGATGGTTCCTGAGGGGAGCATGAAGGGCGTCGGGGCCGCGCGGCGCATCTTCATCTTGCTTGATCGTCGCGCCGTCGGGGTAGCTGGGTCTTCGCTCGATCCGCGATCGCGTCGCCTGGTCAGGGCCGAGGCCGCGTCTTGACTCTGGTTGTCCACCGCGACGTGCCTGGGGGGCGCCTCCCCCCCCCTCCCGCGAGACTCGCAAGCCTCGCGTTGGGCTTCGCGGGCCTTCGCCAGCGGCGCCGCCCGCGCGCCTGCGATCGACGGGCGGCTCGCCAGCGTGACGCCGCGGGCCCCCGCGGAGCGCGAGAAGGTGGGCGCGCTCGCGCCGCCAGGCGAGACTCGGCAGGGGAGCGTCGAGGAGACCCTCGGGTTCGAGCTAATCGGAGCTGGCGGGGAGGCGCGGGCGAGGGTGGCGAGTGGGGCACTCGGGCTTGTCTCCAAGCGGAAGTCGAGCGCAGTGACGTCTGGGCAGAGGCCCTCGCGTCAGCCGGCTCAGCCGACGGAGACGAGGATCCGCGGCGGTGGCAAGGCAAAGGCGAGTGTCTGCAGCAGCGGGGCTCCACGCGACCCTCGGGGCGGGGGCCGCGTCGGCGCGCCGGCGAGAGAGCTGGCCGCCGAGCGGCCCAATGCACCACTGGAGCGAGCAGCCGCCCTCTCAGACCCGCTCTCCGCCGACGAGCTTGCGTTTGGCTCAAGACTGCAGCTGCGAACGCCGACGCCGACGTGGCGTTCGCTGCGCCCGCAGCCGTCTCCCCTCCGCGGTGGTTCATCGGTCTGCTCCTCCTCCTCCTCGTTGGTCGTGGGGTTCGCTCGGTCGTCGTCGTCGTTGTTGTCGTCGGTCGTGGGCTCGGCCGCGTCGTGGGGTCCCCCCGCCGTCGTCTCTCCGGGCTCCCATCCTGCCTCTGCCCTTTCTTGCTCTTCCCCCCCCCCTCTCCTCCTCCTTCCAGGTCGTCCCCACTGCGGGGGGTGAGCCTCTTTTGCGTGCTCGCCTGGCGGTCGCGGCCGGTGTGGTGCGCCTTTTTTCGCTCCCCCTCCTCCCCTCCTTTTCTTTCTCCTCTTCTTCTTGCCCCCTCCCGTTTTGGACAGCGATGGCGGCGTTTGGTTGGGTGGTCGACCCGCCGTCCATCATACTGGCGGACTGCATTTCTATATGCATTTGTTTGCGGAGCTTTGCGGTTGAGAGTTACGCGTGCGGCGTCGCACGTGCGCCTTTTTTCCCAACCATCCTGTGGTGTTGGGTTCTCGTTTTGAAGAGAGCGCCCCGCGTCTCACCTCCTCCCGCTGCCCCCTCCCTCTTCCCCTCCTCTCTCCTCCCATTCCTGCTTCTGCTCGCCGCATGTCCACCATGTCGGCACACCCCTCACGAGGATCGTGGCCCCGAAGGGAGCTCCACCGAAGGCCCCAGCGGCAGGGTTTGCATGCGTTCCCCGCCCATTTCGGCACACCCCTCACGAGGATCGCGGCCCCATAGTGAGCTCCAACGAAGGCCCCAGCGGCAGGGTTTGCATGCGTCCCCGCGCCCATTTTGGCACACCTCTCACGAGGATCGTGGCCCCATAGGGAGCTCCAACGAAGGCCCCAGCGGTAGGGTTTGCCTGCGTCCCCCCGCCCATTTTGGGCACACCCCTCACGAGGATCGCGGCCCCATAGGGAGCTCCACCGCAGGCCCCAGCGGCAGAGTTTGCATGCGTCCCCCCGCCCATTTCGGCACACCCCTCACGAGGATCGTGGCCCCATGAGGAGCTCCATCGAAGGCCCCAGCGGCAGGGTTTGCATGCGTCCCCGCGCCCATTTCCGCACACCCCTCACGAGGATCGCGGCACCATAGGGAGCTCCATCGAAGGCCCCAGCGGCAGGGTTTGCATGCGTCCCCCCCCCCTAGGGAGCTCCACCGAAAGCCCCAGCGGCAGGGTTTGCATGCGTCCCCCCGTTCATTTCGGCACACCCCTTACGAGGATCGTGGCCCAATAGGGGGTTCCACCGAGAGCGGCACCAACAACGCGGTACTCACAATTGCATATGGCTGAGTCCTTCGCCAAAGTAATTTTTCTCGTTCGAGCACATCGTGACTGGTTTCGGTGACGCTCATTTTATGTTCGGGTCGCGCTTTTGTGGTGCTGCCGCGCTTTGTAGAGTTAGCACTCCACCCATTCATGCTATTGCTTCTCGCGTCGCCGGTTCGCAGGTTGACACTCTACCAATCAGTTTCGCCAGACCATGCCTTGCGAATCCCAAGCCCACCAATCGGCTGGTTTGGCTGCCTTGCAGGTTTCTCGCTTCACTGTCTGACATCGTTTGACAGAGGATTCAGTGGCCGCCAGGTAGCACCAGACTGCTTGCGCTTCAGTTCGCTTTGAGTTGAACTTGCTTATCAGTTTTCTGGCCGCTGCATGCTCTCTTTTTGTGGTTACGGGCCCTTTAATCTACCACCCATCGTTTGTATTCCAGCGTTCGACGTCTCCCTCTGTGTGCTTTCGACTGCGCTCTATCGCGATTAACACTTCCATCTGCAGCCCGCGCTTGAGGACCCTCTGCGCCGCTGATTCAAAATTGTGGATCTGAAAGTTGAGGGGGACGAAGAAATGAAGGAACATATGATAATGATGATGATGATGCTGATGATGATGGTGGCGATGCTGATGATGACGATGATGCTAATGATGCTGATGGTGATCATGATGACGATGACGATGATGCTGCTGTCGTTGAGGATGATGATGGTGATGGCGACGGTGATGGTGATGATGGTGGTGGTGTCTGTGATGGTGGTGAGACTGATAGCGATACTGATGATGCTGATGACGATGATGACAGTCATGATGATGAAGCTGATGATGTTTATCATGATGACGATGACGGTTATGGTGATGGTGATTGGGAGGGTGATGATGGTGATGGTGGTGTTGGTGATGGTGGTGATGATGGTGGTGGTGATGTTGGTGATGGTGGTGGTGGTGACCGAGGGGTTGCAGGCAAGTGTTTGCGGCATTCTGCAGAGCGAGGGAGAGAGAGAGAGAGAGAGAGAGAAGGAGATCTCAGGTGCTCAACGTGGTCGAGAGCTTCGACTGCACCAGGCGGGCGATATTCTAAATGCAGCGTGCCCTGCTTTGCTGCTTCTTCTCCTCCCGCTCCTCCACCCTCCCCTCCGCCCCGCCCCCTCCTTCCCCCTTTCCATGCCGAGCAGCATGTGTCAATGCGCGCGTCGCTGGGCTGGGCGTTCACTTCTCGCTGGTTGTAAATATCTCGGAAATCGCAGAGTGGCAATCGTGTCGAGGCCTAGCAGGGGGACGCCTGGGGGAGGGGAGGCAGAAGGCGTGCGCAGCGCTCCTCTTCCCAGTGGGGGTGCGGGTAGGCAGGCGGTGGCACCGAAGGATTTCAAAAAAAACTAAGGATTGCAAACAAAAACTCAGGTTTTTTTGCAATCCGTGTTTTTTGTTTGCAATCGTTTTTTTTTTTTTTGCAATCCTTTTTTTTTTGTTTTGCAATCCTGCGACGAGTGGTTGCCGTGTATTCCGACCCGTCCGCCAGGGGCTGCTGGGAGCCGATCCCGCCGATGCCCACGGCGCGCCACCGCTGCGCCGCGGCGGTTGCAGGAGGCCGCTTCTGCGTGCTCGGCGGCGAGGGCCGGCGGGCCGTGGCGGTGGTGGAGGGCTTCGATCCGGCCCTGCAGGAGTTCAACCCTCCTCCTCCTCCTCCTCCTCCTCCTCCTCCTCCTCCCCCTCCTCCTCCTCCTCCTCCTCATCCTCCTCCTCCTCCTCGTTGCTCCCCTCGTTCAGAACAGCGCTCTCGCCCCATCGCGGGCCACTCCTTCGGACTCCGCTTTCGCTTCCAGGCAAAACCAAGCCATACCACGCGCCTCCTCGTCAAGCGGCCTGACCAGTACGGGCTGCGATTTGGCATCGTTTGGTATCTCTTGGAAGCGAGGGTGGTCAAAAGCGAGGTAGGTTTGGTTTCCCCCTAGGAGTGGGAGACCCTGCCCCACATGTCGATGGAGCGGACGAGCTGCGCCGCCGCGAGCCTTGCTGGGCGGATGTACGTCGTTGGTGGAGCCGACAGCGTCGGCCATGCCTCTGCGTCGGCGGAGTGCTACGATTCGTCCAGCCGGCAGTGGCTGCGGCTGCCCTGGATGACGACCGCGAGGGAGTTCTGCGCGGCCGCGGCGGCGAACGGAAGGCTCTTCGTCATCGGCGGCCGCCTGAGCCTCTGGGGTACGCTGGCGTCCGTCGAGTGCTACGATCCCATGGTGGGCTACTGGGTGCTGCAGAGCCCCATGCCCGAGGAGCGGAGCAGGCACGCCGCGGTCGTGGCGGGCGGCCGCATCTACGTGCTCGGAGGCAGCGACGCCCGCTTCGAGGCCCTGTCGGCCGCCGCCTGCTTCGACCCGCTCGCGGGGCGGTGGTGCCCGGCGCGTGGGAACGCGGGCCCTACGCATCGTTCACACGCAAGTCTTCCGAGTGGCCAGTATTTTGAGAGCTCATGTTTTTGTTCAGTCCTCGCTTTGCACTTCTGGCCTCCAGAGGCTATCTCGTGACCTTCGGCAGATCCCGCTACCTCAGGTCAGATGCCTCTTGGATGCCTGTTGAGATCTCTTGGGAAGCCTTTCGGAAGACTCTTGGATGCAGTTTTGGGCAGCTCTTGGGCCCCTTTGGGGGCCTCTTTAAACTTCTGTTGCGCCTCCGAGGGGCCACCTAAGGCTCCTTGGGGGCCTCTTGGGTGCCTCTGGCGGTCCTGGTGGTTATCTCAGGGCGGAGGGCTCGAAATGTTAGTTCGTGTTCCCCGCCTTGAGCCCTTCTTGGGGGCCCTCTTTGGGCTCTTGATCCGCTTTGGATGCCACTTGGACCATCTCGGGGCGACCTTAGGCTGTGTGTTGGGCCCTCTCGGTGGCCTCTTGCGCCGTCTTGGGACGGTCTTGGCTTCCTCTTGGGCCGTCTAGGAGCGTCGAGAGTCCGAAAAGGCGAGAACGCTATATTCCTGACGCGCACATGGGACATACACCGCCATGCATATTGTTCGCGTCACAGCGGCTCTGTGCTGAAGTGGCGGTCGTGGCCAACACAGGTCACGTCGATGGTTCGCGGGGCGCACACGGGGTCACACCAGGTCCGTTGGGCTCCCGAGGGCTTTCCCTCAGGACTCCGAGAGGGGTCACACAAGATGCCCGCCAACACTGCTGTTTGAGCTCTGCAAGTTAACAACGCTACAACATCACGCGGTCATCTGTCATTTTGGTCTCTTTGGGCTCTCTCGGGCGGCCTCTTGGAGCCCTCTTGAGGCATTTTGGGGGTCTCTTGGGCCGTCTTGAGGCCATCTCGGGCATCTTGGGGCGATCTTTGGGCGATTCGGCGCGCTCTTGGCCAGTCTGGGGGGCCTCATGGAGCGCTTCTAGGCTGTCTTAGGGGCCTTCCGACCTTCGGCAAAGTCACGCGGGAAGCCTCAGTAGCACCCGGAAGCGCCGGGGGAGCGCTGGGGCTGTGGGCCCCTGAAAAAGCATGACAGTATTCAATGCAGATGGCTCTAAGGGACCTGAGGACTTTCCACC